GAGAGCAGTCTGCTGCTTTGGCTGTGCTTCACATCGTCCACTTTGCTGTGATTTTTTGTTTGCTTGTTTAATTTTCCTGTATTTAAATCAAACAATATGTTTAAATCATGAAACTTCCAAGGCTATAAAATGCTTGGTAGTGGTGGTAAGACTGAGAGTTCAAGAATGCTGGGGCAAGATATTGTGGGGGTGCCTTAATTAATATAATTATTCACAGAGATTCCTTGGCACCATGGTTAGATACCCACTTTTTAGCAGACTATGATACTAGAAACATTCTGTTTCCAACACGTGTCTTGAAAATAAAACACCATCCTTATTCCTCTTTTTGAGTAAGCAATATGTATTTTCAAAATTAATACCACAACAATGTAGTCATTAGTCATAGTATAAAAGTAAGTCTTCAAAATGATATAAAGCTTTTAGTGAAAGTTTGGTTCATCTGGTGAAGATCAGTAAGAGCATAATGAGAAAGAAACCCTGTGACTGATTTAAAGTCACCCTAAAGCCATAGACTGATGTGATTAATACATTTTCTCATTCATTTTCAGAAACAATTGTTCAGTGGCCATCATCTTACCAAGGCTTTTCTTGAGTATTAATTAGGGTCTTACATCTTGAACCTAATATTTAGATTAAGCTAAGAGAATGACTTCTGTTCCAGACCATATTTCCCCCTTCCGTAATGGTAGTTTAGGCAGAACTAATTAGCGGGACCAACACATACTCTACATGGGAAGTCGTAATTTGCAAAAGAGTTTAGGATCTGCATTTAACAAATATTCCCAATTAAAACGAAAGTCTTTGGAAAAACATTCTAATGTATCACTATTGTACATCACAACACAGAAGTTCTTGAGGAGCTGTCTCACCTCCAGCAGTGTGAAACACAGAACCATTTGGAGGAACCTGACAGCATTCAATATCAAAGTGCCATGGTTTCCTTTTAGTACTTAGTGCAATCTTACCTTTTTAGCATGGTCTAATAGGGAAAAACTGATTTTCTCCACCCTTTATATGTATTTACCTTTCATTTATTACAAGTGCCAAGCTTTATACGCAACAAGAAAAAATATTATTCATACAAGTATTCTTGCTGAAAATAAAAATTTAGGATGGTCTTGAGGATGCTAGGACAGTCCATATGCAACAACAGCACAGACAAGGAGCTTTGTAATCTCTGTTTGTTTATATGGAGTGGGAGAGAAAATAAGAATTACCTTTTCAATAAAGTTTACATCAGTTGGCACATAGAAGAAACACGAAGTGGGTTTAGGTAGAGAGATAAGACATGTGAATAAAGACAGATGCAAAGATGGATTTAAGAGTTCGGTCCCCCTTCCATTCAAAGTCACAGGCAGATTTGCCAGATTCGAAATCTGAACGACGTTCTGCTTCCCGGTTCCAGCCAGCAGCTCCTTGGAACAGCTTCCTGGAAGGAGATGGCAGGCTCCACTGCTGTCCCCCCTGTTCTAGAAGAAAGGCTGCTCTTTGGCCATTACTTTTTCACCCTAATCCCACCCTGTCCCTAACTTAGGGCTTTCCCTCTAGTAAAGGAAGTACTCCCCTCTCCCCCCTTCCCTACAGAAAATCAATCACGGTGCTGCAGGTAACACATTCCCTTCCATAATGCTAGTTTAATGACGTTAATTAGCTGAACCAAACTTTATGTGAGAAGCCATCATTTCAACAAGAATTTAGGATCTGCATGGGGATAATTTGAGAAATGGAAATTTGAACATCCTTTATGAGTAAGTTGGACTATGTGACCTGTCACCTGTTCCTCATCCCGACTTGAAAATCTTGCAGGACCCTAGGGATTTTTTTCCTTTTGTTCAAAAAGTGACAGCAATAAGGGAGTTAAAAACTTCATTTTGCTTGCAGAGTCTGATCTTGCAGCACTTCCCAAAGCGTGTATAACCACCTAAGTGGATTCCCTGCTTGTGAAAGAACACAAGAAAGGCCAGTCTGATTTTGTCTATGGTCCATACTCCTGTCCCTGACACAGTCTTTGAATTCTCCTGAATGCTTTGCTGTCCTCTGCTTTCAACTTTAGGGACTCGGATGTGAGCTCGGATGTGAGCAAACATGGAGGGCAGGGCTGTCCCCGCCGAGCGGCGTGCAGCCTGCACGCAGGCAGAGCGCAGGGCTCTCCTCCCCGGGGAGCTCATCCAGGCACCGTGGTTAGATACGCAGCTCAGTGGAGCACAACTTCAGATGTCCGTCGTAACAGTACTGCCTAAGCCTTGCTGAAGGCACTTAAAAGTCCTATAATCTGTAGCGATAATAAGAGGCAAATATTGCCCTTGCACTTCATTTTATAGAAAAAAACCAAACCAAACCAAAAGCAGAGAGACCTGCCAGACCATCGAAGTCAATGCACTTTCATTCTTTCTAGGTGTGCTACAGGGCAGAAGTGGGCAGAAGCACTTCCACTTCACACAGTTCATCTCCCAATTAACTCTAAGCTGTCTACTAAAAGTATAGGTCTAATACCTCATCTGCTCTGGTTGTTGTCATACTGAAGTCAAGTATTTGGCATCTGTAAGACGTTTCAGGCACGGCTGAACAACCTACCACAGTCACGGGCCCAGACGCTTTTGCCAGTTGATGGCCTAAACTTTCTGCTTCAAAATTTTGTCTTATTTGTCAGGAATACTTTCTTTTAAAATACAAATGCAAATAATAACTCACTTTAATAGTAAAACTATTCAAATACTTGTAGACCATATTTTAACAAACATCATCCTTTTCTCAGATGTTAGACAATCACATAAAATTATATCATATACGTCATATGTATCTTTAAAACTTTTTGTTACTTTTTTCTTTTGTTACTATTTTCTAAATCCTCTCTAGTATATCAACCTTTTTTTTGGTAATGAGAAAACTAATTTGAAATTATACATACCAAAAATATAAAAAAAACAACTGCTGTCTCTCCCATATATTCACCCAGTTTTTGTGATGTACAGCCCAAAGTTACAGATGGTTTTTAATCATTTCCATTAAAGACAACACATACACATAACTAAATATAATGGCTTAGATCATCAGCTAGTGTAAATGAGCATATCTCTGTAGAAGTGAGTTACAACAGATGAGGGTACTGACTGCTGCGTACAGGCACCCAGTAACGCATGGGGGCTGTTTTGCAGTACTCCGGTTCATAGATACATGATATAACATTGTTCTACATAGAAATGCTTGGTAAATGATACACCGCATTTTTACTCACCTACTTTCTTCCCTGGCTAATGCATTTCTTTGGCATAACTGTTTTCAGTATTTTTTTTAATGAAAATAGGTTGTATTAGTTTCCACTTCTCCAAATCGAATTCCATTTTTGTCACCCACTTCTGCCCCTTCTACAACCACTCAAATTATTTTAATGTACTCATTTGTGTTTGCAACTGCTCTACAGAAAAAAAAAAAAAAGAAACACATGTTTATGGCACCTTTATTTAATACTTCACAAAATATGACATCCCTCATTTATGGCCTTAGATAATTTTGCAAAACCATGTGTTATTGTTCATATCCAGGCTATTTGAACTAATCTGAGGGTAAGATCCTGTTGTCTTCACATTCAAACTGTTCAGAGAGACACTCCATGGACTTTATTGCTGGGAATGTAGAAAAGATATTTCTGAACATTAGGACAAGCAATCTGTCCCTGTTATCTAAATAAAACCATTTCAAATGCCGTTTGCTGGGGCTAAATTAATTTAGATATGCCAAGAAACCTAAGCCTTATCTAGCTGTGCACTTACCTATCTGTCATAGGACCGCTGCTGCTAATTATACCTCTGTGTTCAAACTGTTATAATGCTATGTGAAAGGCAGTGAACTGAAAATCAGAGGGAGCTACTGTTATGGGAAGATATCTCACTTTGTACAGTTTATCCTGATTCCAAAAGTCTTGAGACTCCATCCTCTTCATAATCATAAGATAAAATGAAATTCATTCTTGGCTAAATTATAATTTCAAATAATGACTGTTAATAGAGACTGCGCATCTCATTTCAGTTGAAGAATACTTACATGTACACTAGCTATATATTCATGCTAGTAATGAGTGCTTGCGTCCACTCCTTGGTAGGCTGTCACTTCCTCTAAAATGTCTCTTCTCACCTTCTCCATCCTCCCCTATTGCTCATGATTAGACACTTAAGATTTTTCAGTGCTTGTATCTCTCTCTCTCTACATTCTAACAAACGTTTTCTTCTTCTTCTAGAGCATATTAAAAATCTTCTCAATCAGAGGAAGGGTCTCCTTCTTCCAAAATTCCTTCCAGTGAACGCTCTGGAACGTAGAGGGCTCAAAAGTAGAAAACATCTGTTGCCAGTCCTGGAAGTCTCATGCCAAAAAAGAGTAAATGCAATTATAAAGAGCTTTTGAACTTCAGTGTGAGAGAGATGCTGGAGGTAGAAATGTTCCTCGCCAATTCTGTAACAAGTGTGTGTGTGCCCAGCTCAGTTACTTTTGGACAGTTTTGTTTAGGGAGTTTCCTTTCTTAGTCTGTTACCTGTTGACTTCTGCAAGCGCAAAGAATTATGATCATCTGTACAAACTTTTCTATTGAAGAATTTTTCTGCAAGGAATACCAAAACTTATGCTTGTACATTGGCAAGCTTTGGCTCCAGGTTTCTTGACATCTGCCTACATATTTCAGTTTGAAATAATTCATTAGAACAAAGCAGAGTGCATGTTTGTATGAAACTGAAGGACTCAGACTTCAACACCAACAAGTATTTGACAAATAAGTATATATTTTTTATTCTATGAACATGTGCCACAGTTTTCTAATAAAGAGCGCTTTGCAGAATAATTCAGCATTCAAAATGGCTGCAAGAATGTTTAGAAAGTGACTTTTGAATAAGAAAAAAATGAAACAGGAACATTTTTGTGTGTGGAGGGTAAATTAATAAATTCCAATTAGTTTTAAAAAAAGCAAAGTCACTTCATAAAACTTACAGTAGATAAAAACACATCACCACATGGACAAGTAATCTATTTACAAATAAAGTGAAAATGGATTTTAATTTTCCTTTTTTTTCCTTCACAGATCAATAACACGCTCTTATTATCGCAATTCTGTGGGTGGCTTGCTAGTGTTTGACATCACCAATCGACGATCTTTTGAACATGTGAAAGACTGGCTAGAAGAAGCAAAAATGCACGTGCAGCCCTTTCAGATCGTGTTTCTGTTAGTAGGACATAAATGTGACCTCATGTCACAGCGTGAGGTTACGAGAGAAGAAGCTGAAAAACTGTCATCTGACTGTGGTATGAAATATATAGAAACTTCAGCAAAAGATGCCACGAATGTTGAAGAGTCCTTTACAATTCTTACACGAGACATCTATGAACTTGTAAAAAAAGGAGAAATCTCAATACAAGATGGATGGGAAGGTGTCAAGAGTGGCTTTGTTCCAAATGTTGTACATTCATCAGAAGAAGCTGTAAAGCCCAGAAGGCAGTGCATCTGCTAATCTGTAGCATGCCAAAGAGCACATGGGGTGTTCAGAAGATGATGCCAACCTAAATAACAGAATAATAATTCTGAAACAATATTAGATCATGACATAGCTGAATCATAGAACAGTGATTTGGTTTTGTATCCTTCTGTCTAGGTCATAACTTCTTAAAACTTTGAGTGCTTTTTTCTTTTCAGAGTACAATAACTTTGTGTGGTCTTCAGGAAAAGAAATTATATATTGCTAAAGGAAAAACTAATCCTACAGCAAGACACTGAGAAAGCGCAATAATCGTCGTGACATCCTCCTCTCTTGGGCTTTGCATTTTGAATACTGCTTAAAATCAAGGCTTGCTAGGTGAGGATCAGATGAGCTCATTACTTTTGTTCATACCGCCTTAGTTTTGGACAAGAATATATTATACCTTATACTTTTCTAATGTGATTCTTTTTACTCAAGTGCAGGGTTGCTAATGACCATTAAAGTTTAGAATGCTGTAGAATTTCGTAATAAATATAACTCTAAAGAAAGCAAGCTGAAAGATTGCTCCAATACCAAACACTTTTGATATGACTATGAATACAAGCCTTACTAAAGAAAGTTTTGGAAAAGATGATTTATTTGTATACAAAAATGAGGAATAGAAACAATGAAATGTATTATTAAATATTTTCTGAATTGCCAATGAAACTAAATGTAATATCACTTATGATCCAGCTGTTATTTGACTTGTATACAAAACAGATTTCCCAGCCACTGGAGTTACATTTCGGTGGCTGGATCCTCAGCTGGGTAATTATCATAGCCACACTGATGCCTAGGGAATTATGTTGATTTATACAAACAAATTCTAGCTTTAAAAAATAAATCTACTTCTAACTAGAAGTAAAAAGAAATTTAACAGTGCTGAAACCCAAGGGCACCCAGGCCTTAAATTTGAATAGAGCAAGGATTGTTTTATTCTCAGCCAGCAAATGTTAAACTGTTGTCTAAAAAATGAAGGTTTTAAAACCAAAACTGTTATGAATAGAGTTTTTGGAGAGGAGAGAATTTCTAAAATAATGCTTGGCTACAGAGTGTGAAGTTGGAGAACCCCTGTTCTAAGAAAGCAACACCTAATAGCTTTTAATAATAATAATAGGAGAAATCTGTGATCATGTAGCATTTTACTGAGCTTGAGGTCATGTTCCTACTCCTCTGAATATAACACACACTAGCTTTATGCAAACTATGCCCTATATGTCTAGCACTTAAATACCAAATACGTCTATTTCTATTTTATTGTAGTAGTATAACAAGATGAGTTGATCTCCAGAGTTGATAAGCATCTACAGTATATCCGGGCATACTCATAACGACCGAACATCAAGCCAGTTATCTTCATATAAAGGTGTGTTATCGTGTTACAATTCTCAATTTTCAAGACCAGGAAACAAATCTATCTAACCTAACTTTCTTCTTCAACAAACGTATAACTGGTTTTCCCTCAGGTTAATTTTAGGTCCTTTTACAATCCTTTTGTAAATATGCCGTAGTATAGAGACAGGTTGTTTGGTTCCACTTATTTTATTCATTCAGGGCCACTAAAATTATTGACTTCAAAGGAAACTGAAAGGTTAATTTTTTCAATAGCCTGAGTCTCACTTGCATTGAGGCACAGTGACACTGTCATAGAAGGTTACAGAGGCCTTACTATAAACAGGAATCCGCCTTAATTCATTAGCAATTAAAAGTTAGTTACTTCGAGTCTCAGCATGCCACAAAGTAATTGCTGTGAGCATGATTCTCTATTAAACTACATACATTAGTCGTTTACACCAAATCAATTTTGATTTGAGGGCATTTTACGTCCTTTTTACAAAGTAAACGTGACTACAGATGCCAAAAGGTAGTGCAGCATCAGGCTGTGTGCATTTGAACCTGGTTCCCCTATGATACTAGGGCCGTGCTGTGTATCTCGGAAGATCTTCTCTTAGTTGTTTAAGAGGACAGAATGGGCCAACGAATAAATCGGTGGCTGGGGAGTCAACAGAGTCAAAGTCTGCCACTGGTTCACTCTGTGTTTCTGAGCAAGGCATTTATGTTTTCTGTGCCTCACCTTCTGTATATCAAATATAGAAATGATCGTTCTTCCTCAAATTCACAAAGACAGCTGAGACCTAATCTGACTGTATGATCTTCAGTCTGGACTCTTTTCTCTGTGTGCTACCTGTTGTTGAGTGTTCAGCACCATGGGATGTGGATACTGGTTTCTTCTGCCATACCAAAAAAAAAAAAAAATAAAAATATTAAAACAGCTTTATAAGTACCAGGTATTGCTATTACTATGAATCTACATTTCATTACACATTTCATTACTTTCAGGTTAAAATCTTTTATCTTAAACTTTTCTTTCTGAACACTCTGAAGCCAATGAGCTTTTCATTCTGTAAGGAAAAAATTGGGTGTGTTGGGGGGAAAGGGACTGGGAGAAGAGAGGAGTGGAGGGGAAGAATGCACAGAGACATAATCACCAGAACAGAGCCATAAGGATCTCTGCTGTCAGTGTTTTGTACCTGTAGTGTCACATTTATTACACTGGGAACAGAGCTTTTAACCAGATTCAACTGTGTAAGAAACTGATATTGTCAACGCAACTAGAAGAGAAGTTCACTGCATTTTAAAGTACTGTGCACATAGTTGTCTTATTTGTAATTCCTAAAAATGTAGATTAATGTGTACATTCAAACACTGTCTACCTTGATGATATATTAAACCACTGCTGTACCTTTTCACTACACAACTTACAGTTAAGAGAAATATCTGATAAATAGATGATTTGCTGAAATACGTAATTTTGTTTTCAGATGCAGTACAGTATATAAGTAACAGCTTGATAGGCTGTAGAGCCAATCATAGTTCAGTGCATGTATGTTCTTTTTTCCCCCAAGGAAGGGCAAATATTGATACCCAAACGAAATTTCCAAAAATTAGAGAAATCGCATTTGGCAGCCAAATTAATAAGTAGAAATTATTTATTAAGAAAACACCACAACTTTGCAAATTAAAGTCTGGTAAATCCCAGTTTGGAAACAGAAAAACCTGTTGAAATACTAAATAGTTTGTATTTGGATTCATAGGCCTGGGAAATGAATGGATATAAATTATTGTTTGGACTCCTAAAATGTTTAAACTTTCATTGCTTTTATTTTAAATTTGATAAAGAAGAATAAATATCTTCCTCATTTAAATATTGTACACATTAATTCTTCAGATATTTTGGCTTGCTTATAGTTGCATCTGTCCCATGTAAGAAGCAGAACCTAGCTGCACACCCTAGGAATCAACAAAGGCAAAAATGTTGAGGTAGCATATGCTCATACTATTCATTTACACCTTTGGTATGGAATAGACTTACCAATCTAACTTCAAGCTGGTGACCGTCCTGTGGTTACAGAAGATGACACAGGCTTGACCGAGCACCCAACACTGCAGTTGCTCTGTGCTGAGATCCCTTCTGCCACAGCCAAACTGTTACTGGCACCCGAGCTGCCTAACTTAAAGCAAAGACGGGTGGATGCACCATGCTCGCAGACATCTCGGTGTCAGTGTTTCAGCTCCCTTATAGAATACATGCTTCACTGCCCCCTTTTTACAATATTAACATGCAGGGAGAGTACTTTTCCCGCAGCTGTAGACCACAGCACGTGGCATCAGCTCCTCCAAGTCGCCACCTCTGGCTTTTGCCCAGAGCTGGCACAGCAATCTCAGCAGCCTTTACTCAGCCTTGGAGAGACAGGAGGAGGGCTGAGGGTTTATTCTCTACACAGGCATGAAACCATACCACAAGCGTGCCAGACTGTTTCAGAAATCATTAAATATCAAAACACAGTTGTCAGGAGCAAACATTCACATTGCTCATTTCTCAGAGTCCAAAGACAATCTTTTAAATAAGTGAATGAAATTAAAAGAGGCATCTAAAAAATACAAATCTCTCTAAAAAGCCTAATGGATAGGACTGCACAACAAACTAGATTCTAAAAAAAAAAAGTCCAAGCATTTGTGTAATGAACCTTTGCTCCAGTACTTAACCGTATGCAGTAGCACCTACGATGCCTAGGTTTCTTAAGGATAATGATGTTATCACTGAATGTGTTTAAAACTAGAAAAATTCAACCCAAAATTCATCTGCCTGATCCTCAAAGAAAAAAAATGACTGTACCTCATGAATGCATGCATACTTACTTCCCAGCTCATTTCTAGTGGTAATTCGTCTGGGTTTAGTGCTACGTTGCGTGAGGCTCTCCTCTGAAAACCGACTACCTACACAGGCTGTCATACTTAGCAATATTTCCTTCCTGCAACGCAGACACAGCTGTGGAAAAGCTGGATTTTACTTTGAGCACGGCAGAACTGTTTATCATGTTTCAATGAATGTGCAAATCTGATGAGAGTAATGTGATTGAAGACGTGCCAGTTGAGCACAATATAAAGACAATGAAGTTGTACAGGTTCCTGAAGACAATTTGCCTTGCATAATACTTAATTAGTGGGAGTGTAGCGTACATGTGAAGAAGACTAAGTTGGTTCTCAGAACCCAAAAATATTTTGCCAAGCAGCCCTTTTGACGTGGAAGAGCCGGCTCTGTAGGCGCAGGACTCCACAGAGCAATCGCTTTTTCTTCATGGAGCTGTTGCTCCAGCAAGCAACCAGTGGAACAGCAAACACGCCTAAAATATGTCCAAGAAAAGAACTTGATAGCACAAACCCCTAACAATGCAACACACACACTGTGGGCTTTTTACCCCTGAGGAGACAGGGAACAGTTGTTGGGCAGCAAACACCACCACAGCACTTGGATGGCATCTCCTCCCGCGACTGCCCGTTGCCCACAGAGGCCAGGCAGGAACCGGGAGCAGCAGGCTCTTTATGCAGGGATAGGTAAATCTTCATTTAAACTCAAACTGAGGAATCCAAATCCCAATCCCGAGCTGCTAGAATGGATCACCGTCTTTGAAAGTATTTCATTCACTCACTTCTCAGAGAAAGTCACGTTGCAGGCTAGGCCTGAGCTACTCAGGGATGGACACTCAGCATGTAATCTGCTGAGAGACGGCTACTCCATGGGAGCAGTGCTGTAAACCAGCTGACACCAACCTTCAGCAGCCTCCCAGGCTACGAGGGCAGCTCAGGTGAACAATAACCCTGATTACCTTCACAGGCTGCTAAAGGCCCACCATGCAGCTAAAGAGCTTCTACAGAAACAGAAGAGCAGAAGTAACAAAAAGAAATTCTATGCATTGTAAATGAAACCAATGCTTAGGTAAACAAGATGAAGTTTCAGCTATAGTTCAATGACTGTGATTCCTCATTGCTGTGTCTTCAACAGTGCTTGCATGCAAACTGGTTTTTCCTGCTCTATGAAAATTGTGGAGGGGCAGAAGGAGCCCCCCCCCCACTGCTGTTACGGGACTTGCAGGATGAAGGAAAGCGCCAAGGACCTGGAGCCGGCACGGAGGCACAGGGTATTGACTCCCAGCTCCTGCGGCTCCCTA